CTCCACAGTGCCACCAAGTGGCCACCCAGGTCACCATGGGGCAGGCTTGGGGTCTGGGGCTGGGGGCAGTGGTGGGCCTGACCTCCGTGACCTCGCGGGAGCCCCCAGGACCATTACACAAAGGGGAAGAGCTCTGGCTAAAGGGGACGGAGGGGACAGCCGGAGCTCTGGGTCGTGGTCCTGGCCTGCCTCAGGCGGCGGGGAGACCTGGGGCCCGTGCATCGCCCGCTCTGGGCCACGCTTTCCTCCCACATCAGGCCAGCACTGAGGCTTCCTGCGGTGGCCGTATCCTCCATCCTTGTGGCGGGTCCAAGGCTACGTTACACGGACAGTTCAGAATTTTATGAGGCTCCTACTCTGTGCCTCACACGGGGTGAACAACAACGACGGTGGTGGCAATGATCATAATAACCATCGTTCTCCAGTGAGAGGTTATTCTAGGTCAGGCCTTGTGCTAAGCATTTGATGTGCACGAGCTCATTTACTGAACATGAGGTAGAATTTTCTAAGCACTTTACAAAAGTTAATTTGCTTAATCCTCACAGCAAAGTGAGGCCCAGAGAGAACTGATTTTTTTTTTTTGTCATTAAACTTATTCACTCTATAGGCTGAGCATCCACTACGTGCTGGGCACTGCTCAGTACTGGGGCCCCACCGTAAATGACACAGATACAGTTGCAGCTCAGTAGCTTCACAGTGCAGAGTGGCGTTGGGGGGACACACTGTAAACAAAACACAACCAGAAAACACCAATGAATGCAAAACTGGAAAATGTTCTAAGAGCTCTAAAGGGGAAAAATAGGGAAGAGTAGAAGGGAAGAAGAAGACAGGCAAGGTAATCAGGAAAAGGCAGCGTGGAGGAGGTGGCGTTTAAACTGAGGCCTGAGAAAGGATGAGGAGGCTGCAACGAGTAGAGGCCAAGGGGACAGCTTGTGCCAAGGTCCTGAGGTAGCTGAAAGCTTGGCCCATCGAGAAACGGAGAGGAGGCCTACAGAAGTCCTTGAACCCAGGAGCAACTCCACTCCCCCAGATTCCAGTGGGCACTGCAGTTGATGTCAGGGGCTCACAGGCTCTGAGGAAGCTTTAAAGGGAAACCTGTGCCTGTCCCTCTGCTGGGCAAACCCATCAGAGTCTTTGGAGGAGGCAGGCTGGCTAATCATTTCCGTCTCCCGGGCAACTCCAGTGGGCAGACTGGGTGTCCCTCAGACTCCAAGGCTGGGGTATTGCTAAACTTTCTTGGCCCAATGGTGGAGGGCTATGCGGGGGGAGGGTTCCTTTTGAGGATATCGCTTATAAATAGTTTCCCCAGTGTAGGCCCGGCTCTGCCTCCTGGATAAGGCTCTATGTGACATCATGGCTTATCTCACAGATGCCAGGGGACAATGGTATTAATGAGTTAATCACAGGGTGTCCTGGGGTGACAGTTACACCACAGTAACCCCACAGAACCTCAGAGGCTGCGCCCGAAGGGCAACCCCAATAGGGCAGCCTCAGGCAGGCCCTTCTGAGTGGTGCCAACTCTTCCTCTGGTCCTCGATGGCCCCCGTGGGACTTCTCAGCTGGAGAAGGAGACATAGGCCACACCTGGGCTGGGGGATGGGTTGGCAATGTCTGCCCTGGGTGCAGCCTGGGGTTCTTCGCAGTCACGGCTGGTTTACTCCAGCCGTGCTCAGACCTAGCTCGTGGGGTCGACCCCCACCAGGTGGGAGGGATCCCAGCCCACTCCATTGCTGAGTCTGATGAGGCACCAGCTCTTAGAGTTTTGTTTTCCCATCTGTAAAATGGGTTCGATGATTTTATTAGTTTTCTAGGGCTGCCATAACAAAGTACCACAGACCTAATGGCTTAAACAACAGAACTTTTATTTTTTTTTTCACAGTTTAGGAGGTTGAAAAATCCAAGATCAAGGTGTTGGCAAGGCTGGTTTCTTCTGAGGCCTTTTTTCTGCACATACAGATGGCTACTTGTCCCTTTCTCTTCACGTGGTCTGTCCTCTGAAAGTGTGTCATGATCTCTCCTTCTCACAAAGACATCAGCCTATTGGATTAAAACCCACCCCAATGATCTCATTTTACCTTAAAGGATTCTTTAAAAATCCTATCTCCAAATACAGTCACATTCTAAGGGACTGGGGGTTAGGATTCCAACTTGATATGAATATGAATTTTCAGGGAACACAATATTCATTTAGTGGGGGAACAATTCAGCCCATAGCAATGACGGATCATTCACCTTATAGGTGATGTGGAAGCCCTTCAAGAACTGCACATCTGTCAGCGGCAAACATGTTGGGAGTGATGCCAATGTGCCAGGCACTGAGCTGTTCCTTCCATCACCAAGACTTAGTGGCTTAAAATAATGATACTTAACTTTGTTCATGCATCTGTGAGTTGGGCAGGATTCAGGACGGATGGATCAAAGGCTGAGAGTGGAAATCCTCTGAAGGCTTGTTCACTTATATGCCTTGTTATGAAGGTTGATGTCAGGATGGGAGCTGTGGGCTGAGTCTTTAGCTGGGACTGTTGGGTGAAACACTTGTATATGGCTGTGACCTTCCGACATGGTCTGAGCTTCCTCATAATGTGGCGGCCACATTCCAAAGGCCAATGTCAGGAGAAAGCGCCAGGTAGAAGCCATATAACCTTTCATGACCTTGTCTCGGAAGCCATGCATTCATTCAAGTCCTGGAGTTGCAAAGGCCCACCCACTTTTCGAAGGAGAAAAATTAGTCTGCACTTCCTGTTTGGCAAGCTTCTGAAAATGCTGCTGTGGTCATTTTCAGAAAATACAATGTACTCTAATTAGAACTGAGGCAGGTGAGGCTCGCAGGAGGAAAACTTTGCCCAGGCCCATGCAGCATGGACGCCCCCCTTCCAATCATTCCAGAGAGCCCCAGAGGGGGCTGGTGGAGTGGCCTTCCTTCCCCAGGCCACCATACAAAAGCCTGTGGCTCAGCCGCCATTTGGCTTATAGGATGGATTTGTCACCAGGAAAAAAATAACTGGGTTTTTTTTTTGCTTATTTTTTCTCAGCTCTCTATTTACATGTCACCCAGCAGGGAGTCATCAGGGCTCTGGGTCCTCCTGGCTTGCTTAATTCATCCAGGACCCCTTCGTCCTCTCCCCTCGATTTCTTCTTCTGAGTTTCTCTGTTTTTCGCTTTGTTTCTCTCTCTCCCTTGCTTCAGGTTTCTCCCTGTCTCTGGGCCCCTGTCTCTGTGTCCCTGTCTCTCTCTCTAGTATTTGTACCCCACTGACACCCTGCATTTCATTTCTGTCCCCTCACAGGCGCTACCCTCAGGGAAACAGGCTGCTCAGCGCCGGTTGCTCAGAATGCCTGCCCTGTCCTGCTGCTTTCAGGACGGGGGCCTGGAAGGAATGTACCAGCTGCCTTTCTTGCTTATTTTACTTTAAAAAAAAATTAATTGAGGCAAAATTCGCATGAAATTGACTTGATTATTTTAAAGCCACTTCCTTGGCTTTTAGTGCATTCATGATGTGGTGCAACCACTACCTCCCTCTAGTTCCAAAACATTCCCATCATTCCCAGATGACCCTATGCTTGGCGTCCACCAATCTACATTCTGTGTATTTGGATTTCCCTGTTTAGCACCTTTCACATAAATGGAATTATTCAATATGTGACCTTCTGTGTCTGTCTTCTTTCACTTAGCATATTGTTTTCAAGGCTCATTTATATTGTAGGAGGTATCAGTACTTCATTCTTTTTTATGGCTGGATAATATTTCATTGTATGGATAGGCCACATTTTATTTATCCACTCGTCCGTTGATGGACATTTGGGTTATTTCCACCTTTTGGCTATAGTGAATAATGCTGCTATGAATGTGTGTGGACAAGGATTTGTTTGAACACCTGTTTTCAATTCTTTCGGTTCTATATCTAGGAGTGGAATGGCTGGGTCATGCGGTAATTCCCTCTTTAACTTTTTGAGGGACAGCCAAACTGCCTTACTGTTTTACTGTGCAGACCTTAATGATTTCTTTAAAGGAATGATGTTGGCATCTTGAAACCTTCTGTCTGACATCATTCTCCTGCCCATTTATATTGGAAGCTGGGCAGGAAAACATACCATGTAGTAGATGTTCAGCAATGAGATACTGGATGGACTCTGAAAGGAAAGACCAGTGCTGTAGAGGGCAGGGCTAGAAGGTCAAGATTACTCATTCATCTATTCATTCATTCATTCATTCATTCACTCATTCATTCATAAAACATTTACCTAAAATCCACCATGTGCTAGATGTTGTATAGGGCACTGGGGAGAGATGAATAAGGTAGAATCCATGCTGTTGATCATAGGATGGGGGAAAATGGTCACATAAATAAACAATTAAGAAAGAGTGTGATACTGTCTTGCATGGGGGTCATTTAAGGTAGAGGAAGAAACAGCTGCCTGGGTGGGCCAGACAAGGCTTGACAGATGGGCATCTCTTTGAGCTGGGTGTTGAAGGATGAGTAGGAGTTCTTCCTGAAGCAAAGGCAGGGAAGGACATCCCAGGCCTAGGGAAGAGCAGAGACCATATAGGGGTATCTACAGGTATGGTAGGTCTTAGGTATGGTTGGGGCACAAGGTATATCTGGTGGAAATTATACTGAAATGGTTGGTATGTTCTTATAAAATAACCAAATTTTATTAATAATATGCTAAGAAGTATGACTTCTCATCTTGGGGTGGTGGAAGCATCAAAAGATTTAAATTGAGTGATTAGAAGAAATAAATGTAGACTTCACTTCCCTGTTTATAAAATGGAAGAAGTGTAGAAGCTTGTGTCTGTCAGGATAAACTGGGTTTTGCTGCAGTAACAAATAGTTCCTTAATCCCAATGGTGTGAAACAACAGCTTTTCTTTCAGGCTTACCCTAAATGTCCATGGCAGGTTGGCTGGGAGGTCTGCTGTACATTTCTATTACCTGTAGCTTAGCACTTTGGTGGGTGAAACAGTCACTTTCTGGAGCATGGTTAGTCACTGAGGCAGAAGGGGAAAAAAAAAAAAAAAAGAGGAGTGTAGCAGTCCTAAAGCTTCCATGCACGAAGGATATGACACATGACATTGAAGCCGGTCCTGTGGCCACACTCATCTCTAAGTGGGCAAGGAAGTGCAGTTCCACCCTGAGCCCTCGGGGGAGAGCAAGATATATGAGGTCAGCAACATGGGTGACCACCACAGAGGTCCTCCGTGAGTTCCTTCAACATTTATGAAAACAGAACTTTTGTTCAGGGGTGCTCACTGCAGCATTGGCTGCAATGCCTAAAGCTGGAGGCAATCAACATGTCCAGCAATGGGGGCTAAAGTGCATATTGCTACAGGCACAGTCTGGAGTATCACACCGCTATTCAGAACAAGACAAGGCAGATTTTTATTTGTTAAAATGGAAAAAATGTCCCATATGTATTGTTAAATTAAAAAAAGAAAAAGAAATCATTCTGAGGAGCAGAACATAGTCCCTGATATGACCTAATTTATTTTAAAAAGATATGTATATGAAAGATATATGTATATGATACGTATGATAAGCATATATGCCTCTAATGCAGAATTAACAATTTATGGAAAGATAATGCAGTAACAGTAAACATTAAGCATCAGTTACCTTTGGGGATAGGGAGTGGGTCAGGGCATTGCTGTTCGTTCACATCTATATCCCTAGCGTCCAGTACATAGTAAGTGCAAAGTATTGTATATAGTAGGTACTCAAAAATATTTGTCAGATGGAGAAATATTTTAAGAAGAGCAATTAACCTTTTAATTATATGCCCTTCTGTGCAGTTAGAATTTGCATTAATTGTATGTAAATATAAAATACAGAATTTGATTTTTTTTTTTTAAGACCATGGATAATTTCATTTTCTGACCTTCCTCTCCCGTCGGCTCTTGAAGAAGGCAAGGTTGGGTTCACTTCTCTCTGAAGACACACAAAGAGCAGTAAATAAGTGTAGCTTTGAAAAATCAGGGGGAAAACTGCCACGTCAGTCCTATTAAAAAAAAAAATCCCGAAAAATAAACGAGGGTGTACTGCTGGCGTTCCTAGCGCCGCGGAGATATTAGTCTTGTACGGTGCTAGGCCAGCCTCCCTTGCTCGCCTCCCGGAATGAGCCTGCCAGGGGAGATGGATCGCTCCGGAGGTCCCCCCACTCCCTGCACTACATGGGGGTTCAATTAGCGGAATCTGTCCCCGCGACAGAACAGCACCCAGCATCTGAGCAACCCTCCGCCTTCATCCGCAGCCAGTGTGTGCGGAGGAAGCAATATATTTTTTTTTTAAATCTTATTTGTTTTAATTGCTTGTGTGCTGATTTCTTGCCTGCCACCCCCTCTCCGCCCCCCCAACATCACAAGCTTGCTTTTCTGGGAGAATTATGTTCTTGTCGGGAAAACAGCTCAGCTTCACTGAATCATGGGGCCGGGTATAACTGTGGGGAGCAGAGAGGCAGGGTCTGTCTGGGGGGATGTTGGGAGATGGGGCTGATGGCCTATGGCGCTGTGAGATGGGGAGGTCTTACCTGGCACCATGGAGCTCTATCATTGGGTTCAAATCCTGGCTCTGTTCAGGCACAGCAGTACCAGCCTTGGCCCAGTGATTCCAAGCTTCTGGCCTCACTTTTCCCATCAGAAAAACGGGAGAGAATAATAACAGCGACACCATAGGGTGTTGTGAACACTTAAGAAGACCACTTTTGTAAAATAGCATTTGTGGGTGTTCCCTACGACTATCTGAATATTTTTATCTCATTATAAAACCACTTGCGGATAGACTAGCCACATATGGAAGAGTGATTTTGGAGACAAATGCAAGTATCTCATCTTGAAGGATTTATATTCAGAAAGTCAACAATCAGCTCTCTTGGGTCTCATGGATGTGACATAATATTGGAAAAAGGACTCCAATGTTCTTTCTAAAACTTTAAGTGGAAATTGAGAGAATGAGCAATTACTGAGGGCCCTTGTGCCAAGGACGGCGTGCCTTGTGTGTGCACCAGAGGCCGCAACCCATGCATCTGGTTTTGTAGGATCTGTGAGCTAAAAATAATTTTTAAATTTGTAAATCATGGAAAAGAATTTTTTAAAAGCATACTATTCCATGACACCTTAAAATTATATGAAATTTACATTTGTGGCCATAAATAAAGTTTTATTGGCACACAGACGCACCCATCATTTTGTCCAACTCTGCTTCGGTGCTGCAAGGGTAGAGCTGAGTAGTTGAAACAGAAGCCGTGGGGCCTGCAAAGCTAAAAATAGTTAATATCTGGCCCTTTACTGAAAAAGTCTGCTGACCTATCTTTCACTGCCTTGAAGATTCATCTTATTGTTATAGACCCATTTTATAGGTGAATAAACTGAGGCTTTGAGAGGCTAAGTTATTGGCCCTAGAGTTGCAGGGAAAGTGGATATTGAATACTGGCATTATACCCATTTTACAGATGAAGAGACTGAGGCCTGAAGAGGATATGGCAACTTCCTGAAGCTCATCCAATGAGTGAAATAATGACACCATGGGCACCAGAATCCTGCCCTTAGGAGAGGAGCCCATTTTCTTTGTTCCCACCTCTCTCCCATGGGACTTAGAGGTAAATATCCCAGAGGAATTGGCAGGGGCTGCCACTGATGGCTGGCTGATTCCTGCTCTGGGGGACCAGATGCCCCAGCAAGCTGTTAAGGGATTAGAAGGTGGAGGGGGTGCTGGGGCAGACCTCCAGGAGTGGGTGTGGGGAAGAGAGAGTCGGAGAAAGAAGAGAATCAGGATGCTTATGTCTATTGCATTCTGTTTCCTCCGTGGGCTCACCCTCTGTCTGTTACACTCGTGTCTGCCCATCATTCCCAGGATGGCAGCAGGTGCCACTGGAATGCATCGAACATGTGTTCTTGTCACCACTTAGGAAATACCTAATCGTGTCTGTCATAGGGTTACAGTCTCCAAACACAGGCTGTAGAAAGGCAACCCTTCCCCCTGGAGGGGCCGCACTATATTTTGGCCTTAAAATGATTCTGACTCAGGGTCAGTCTAAGAGCCATGGAGGGGGGCTTGGCGTGGGGCGCCGACGCACGGAGACACAATGCTGCCGTTGATGTGTGGAGGCACAGAGTCATGAATGACGCGGGGAGACGCTGACACTGTGCTAAAGAATATAGAAGCAAGTTCCAAATTTGCATTCTAGGGTGATCACGTCACTGCGGCAAACATATTCACAAGCACATGTGCAAAAAAGGGGATACGTTAGGGGCACAGGCCTGAGTGTGCACACTGCCTATGTGCCACTGACCTTCGCTTTTGGGCCTCCCCCTTCCATGACCTGTACAATGGGATATGGTGAGTGCTAACCCTCAGGGTAGTTGGCGTCTGTGGGAGATGATGCACATCAATGTTTAGCCTAATCGTTTTTTTTTTCCTCACAGAAAAACAAAAGATGGAATAAAGTCTTTGTGCAAAGGCAGAGAACTACTGGCCTGAGCCAACCTGGGTATTTATAGGACAGGTAAAATTGTGGCCCAGAGAGAGTAAGTGACTTGCACAAGGTCACACAGCAAGTGAGGAGAAAGTTGGGAAACAAGACCTAGGGCTGCCTTAGGGTCCTTTCTATCAGATCTTATTTTGACTCCGAACCAGAGTTTTGGATGAGAAGCACCCACAGGAATCAGGCAGTTCCAGGCTGCAGCCTGGTTGGGGCTGGGCTGCTGTTACTCCTATTCCACGGGTGAGGCATGGTATCTACCTCATGATTGTAAAGACTTATTATTGAGACTTACTATTTCCCCACACCATTCCATTTATCCCTCACAGCAGCCTGGGCTGGATTCTACTTACTTACCCCTGCTGAGCCCCTATACACAGCACACAGTGGGTGCTCAGCAAATATCTGTTGGCTGAGCAGTGCCTGCTGAGAAGACCTCCTTCGCCCTGGGTCCAGGGCAGAAGCCAAGGCTCAGGAAGGAGAGTGTGGAGTCCAGAGTCACACTGCTGGTTTAAGGTCTGTCTGACTCCAGAGAAAACTGCAGTGAGGTCTCCCAGCGTGGGGACATCCGGACACCTAGGCCTGGAGAGGCAACGGGCAGCCTCTGGGGAGGAACTTTGAAAAATAACAAGAGGAACTCGGGACAGACACATTTTTTGACACAAAGCACAGCAAAGAGACTATAATTTCCCCCTTTTTAGGTTGGTTTGGGGGAGGTCCCACTATGGAATGAACAATTTGCTTTGCAAAATCCAAGTCTCCAAGTCCCTCTGCTCGGGGCCTGCATTGATATGCTAATACGAGGAGCCCTGGGGACCCCCTCCTGGGTCTCTTTGTTCACAGAGCATTCGTGGAGGAGCCTTTGTGCTGCTCCGTGTGTTCTCTCAGCATGTGTGTGTGACAGGGAGAGAGGCAGAGACCAGGAGAGAACAGAGAGGCTTGCTCAGGTGGAAGCCCGTGGCAGGAGTCCTGGGAACCCGAGGGCGAGAAATACGCCTGGAGAGGATGGGAGAGGAGCAGTCATTCGGAGAGAGGGGATGGCCTTTCACGGGGAGGAACAGCACTTGGGGCATGCCTGGAGTATTTCAAGTTTTGTCCCTTCCTTCCTCCCTCTCTTCCTTCCTTCCTTCTTTCCTTCCTTCCTTCCTTCTACTCACCCATCTACTCACCCAGCTATCCACTCTCCTACTCGCTCAATTGACCATCCTCCTACCTTTCCACCCGTGTGCCCATCTATCTACACATCTACCTGCTCATCCATGCGCTACCCTCCCATCCATCCGTCCATCCGTCCACCCACCTGTCTGCCCACTCCCCATTTCCGCCTCTGTCCGCCCTTCCGCTCACCCATTCATCCTCCTCCCCCAACTCTGCCCAGCTCACACCAGTGCTTTGCTGGATGACCAACGACATGGCTCTACCCATTTTAAGATTGAAGAAACCACCATTCCAGTTAGAAGGACAGAGAACTCAGATTCTGAGAGTGGATGGAGCCGGGTTCAAATTCTGACTCTGCCATCTGCTGGCTGTATGACCTCAGGCAA